AACGGTTCAAAAACTGTCTTAATTAAAATTCTCTAAAATGAAAGATATTAGTCTTAGGAAGCCATTTTTAGCATTTCAAGACTGTTTTTGAAAAGTTCAAAAAGTCGTCAAAATTGACCAAAATGGTAAGGGGTAAGCCTTACCATTTTGATCAATTTTGACGACTTTTTGAACTGTTAAAAAACTGTCTTAAAATAATCTAAAATGAAAGATATTATTTTAGGAAAGCCATTTTTACATTTTAAGACAGTTTTTGAAAGTTCAAAAAGTCGTCAAAATTGACCAAAGTGGTAAGGGGTAAGCCTTACCATTTTGGTCAATTTGACGACTTTTTCAATTGTTCAGAAACCGTCTCAAATTCTAAAAATGGCTTCCTAAGACTAATTCTTTCAGTTAGAGCTTATATGGTTGGTTTTGGTAATATTGAAAAAGTCGTCTATTTGACCAGAATGGTAAGGGTAAGTCTTACCATTTTGGTCAATTTGACGACTTTTTCAACTGTTAAAAAAATTGTCTTAAAATGCTCTAAATGAAAGATATTAGTCTTACGAAGCATTTTTAGCATTTCAAGACTGTTTCGAAAAGTTTAAAAAGTCGTCAAAATTCACCAACATGGTAAGGTGTAAAGGGTAAGCCTTACCATTTTGGTTAATTTTGACGACTTTTTTAACTGTTAAAAACTGTCTTAAAATGCTCTAAAATGAAAGATATTAGTCTTAGGAAGCCATTTTTAGCATTTCAAGACTGTTTTGAAAAGTTCAAAAAGTCGTCAAAATTGACCAAAATGGTAAGGGGTAAGGGGTAAGCCTTACCATTTTGATCAATTTTGACGACTTTTTGAATTGTTAAAAAACTGTCTTAAAATAATCTAAAATGAAAGATATTATTTTAGGAAGCCAATTTTAGCATTTAAGACAGTTTTGAAAAGTTCAAAAAGTCGTCAAAATTGACCAAAGTGGTAAGGGGTAAGCCTTACCATTTTGGTCAAATTGACGACTTTTTCAATGGTTCAGAAACCGTCTCAAATTCTAAAAATGGCTTCTAAGACTAATATCTTTCATGTTAGAGCTTATATGGTTGGTTTTTGGTATTTGAAAAAGTCGTCAATTTTGACAAGAATGGTAAGGGTGAGCCTTATTATTTTGGTCAATTTTGACGACTTTTTCAACTGTTAAAAAACTGTCTTAAAATGCTCTAAAATGAAAGATATTAGTCTTAGGAAGCCAATTTAGCATTTTAAGACAGTTTTCGAAAAGTTTAAAAAGTCGTCAAAATTGACCAAAGTGGTAAGGGTAAGCCTTACCATTTTGGCTAATTCTGAGGACTTTTTAATTGTCCAAAAACTGTTTTAAGATGCTCTAAAATGAAAGATATTAGTCTTAGGAAGCCATTTTAGCATTTTTAGACAGTTTTTGAAAAGTTCAAAAAGTCGTCAAAATTGACCAAAAGGGTAAGGGGTAAGGGGTAAGCCTTACCATTTTGGTCAATTTTGACGACTTTTTGAACTGTTTTTAGCATCCATTTTTAGCATTTTTAGACAGTTTTGAAAAGATCAAAAAGTCGTCAAAATTGACCAAAATGGTAAAGGGTAAGGGTAAGGTAAGGCTTACCTTCCCATTTTGGTCAATTCTGATGACTTTTGAATCTTCTAAAAATGTCTTAAAAATGGTATAAATGGCTTCCTAAGACTAATATTTTTCATTTTAGAGCATATTTGGTTAGTTTTTCGAACATTGAAAAAGTCGTCAATTTTGACTAAAATGGTAAGGGGTAAGCCTTACAATTTTTGAACCAATTTTGACGACTTTTTGAACTGTTTAAAAACTGTCTTAAAATGCGCTAAAAAACAAAATTAGTCTTAGGAAAACCATTTTTAGCATTTTAAGACCGTTTTAGAAAAGTTCAAAAAGTCGTCAAAATTGACCAAAATGGTAAGGGGTAAGCCTTACCATTTTGCTCAATTTTGACGACTTTTTCATTGTTCAAAACTGTTTTAAGATGCCCTAAAATGAAAGATATTAGTCTAGGAAGCCATTTTTAGCATTTTAACACAGTTTTTGAAAAGTTCAAAAAGTCGTCAAAATTGACCAAAATGGTAAGGGGTGCCTTACCAATTTGGTCAATTTTGACGACTTTTTCAATTGTTCAAAAACTGTCTCAAAATGCTCTAAAATGAAAGATATTAGTCTTAGGAAGCCATTTTTAGCATTTTATGACAGTTTCTGAACAGTTGAAAAAGTCGTCAAAATTGACCAACATGGTTAGGGGTAAGCCTTGCATTTGGTCAATTTTGACGACTTTTGGACCTGTTCAAAAATTGTTTTAAAATGCTCTAAGAAGAAAGATATTAGTCTTAGAAAGCCAATTTTAGCATTTTAAGACAGTTTTTGAAAAGTTGCAAAAGTCGTCAAAATTGACCAAAATGGTAAGGCTTACCCCTTACCATTTTGCTCAATTTTGACGACTTTTTGAACGGTTCAAAAACTGTCTTAATTAAAATTCTCTAAAATGAAATATATTAGTCTTAGGAAGCCATTTTTAGCATTTTAAGACCGTTTCTGAACAGTTGAAAAAGTCATGAAAATTGACGAAAATGGTAAGAGGTAATGTTTGTAAAATTAACGAAGAAGCTTTCATCTCACATTTCCTTCTTACTGCTTCGATTTCGCCAGCTTTATTACTTCGAAAGAACGAACAAAGATCGTTTTTTATTTGCATACTTTCCGCCATGATGACTCGAGTAACGTGCGTACAATGTCGCTTGCAAAGTATCGCGATTGTTTACGCATTATGGATTTGCGCATCAGTCAAACGCGATATTTTGGATCGCGGGGCTAAACGCATCAGTCAGCATCAATTTCCCAACGTTGCGTGTGCACGAAAACAATAGTTTTTATGACGTTGCGTTAGGGAAACTCGGCCAAAGGGACTCGGGACTGTTGCGCCACTGATGCGCATTTCTCCCCAACATTACGTAGTGATGCACTCTTTTCCCAATGTTACGTAAACGCGTCCACTGACCGTAATATGATAATGCATATTATTATTATTTATATTTATTATTATTATTAAAAATTCATTTATACACGGTAGAATCATCAGTAATGTTATATATATACAACAAACAATAAAGAGAAATATCTAAAAACTTTTAGCCATACAAATAACAAAGCACGCAATAATAACACAAAATACTGTTTTACATGATTGCCGTGTGGAAATCAGATATTCAAAAGAATTTGTCAAGTTCGGATTTAAATTGTTGCAGAGAGGTAATTTTCCGAACATTTTCTGGAAGAATATTCCATAAACAAGCCCCGCTATAACTAAAACTACGTTTTAAGTAGTCAGTATGGGGCATCGGTAGATCAACTTGTCTAACCGAGTTTCTTAATGTATAACCTGTGCTCCGTGGAATAAACATATTTCGCATATAATCAGAAGCTAAGTTGTTTAAAGATTTAAACATTACAATAGCTTTTTGTTTCTTGCGACGAATATTAAGCATATCCCATTGCAACATGTCAAGAAGCTCACTAGACCTTATATCGTAACTGGCTCTCATAATTACTCTGGCTGCACGATTTTGCAGTTTTTGTAGTTTATCGCTAAGTTGATTGCTTAGACCATCCCAAACTGGAGAACAATAATCAAAATATGGCAATATTAAAGCATTATAAATTAGCACAGCAGAGTGTAAAGGGACACAAGGTCTAATTCTTTTCAAAGCCCCGATCCCTGACGAATTTTTTTTACATAAATCATCAACATGATTGAACCAAGAAAGACGGTCATCGATGGTCAGGCGAAGGGAAATAGTGTGACCAACCCGCTGGATCGTCTGATCGCCAATTTGAATACAAATTGTACTGTGATTATCGGCAGATATTTTTTGCCTCGAGCCAATAACCATAAATTCGGTTTTAGCTATATTCAAACTAAGTTTATTTGCAATCAACCAAGTTTTGAGATTAGCAAGTTCTGAATTGACTAGGGGCTCAAGTTCAGGTAGGTTACGTGCCGAAAGGCTAATATTAGTATCATCAACAAATAAATTGGCAGAGGCTGATCGAAGACAATTTGGTAGATCATTTATGTAAATTAAAAATAGCAAAGGACCAATAATACTACCTTGAGGCACGCCACAATTAATTGCGCCAAGACTAGATAAACAGCCGTTGACATCACATTTTTGGGTTCGGCCACTGAGATATGAATTAAACCACCTTAGGGCATTCTGGTCAACACCATAGTTTACTAATTTACGCAGTAAAATATCATGTTTAATAGTGTCAAAGGCCTTCTTCAGGTCAATAAATATTACTCCATTGAGAAGACCTTTGTCTATATTCACCGACCATTTATTAGTGGCCCTCAGTAAAGCTGTTACTGTACTATGGAGCGAACGAAAGCCAGATTGGCAGCTACTTAATAAATTATTCTCATTTAAATAGCCAAAAAGCTGATCATAAACCATTTTTTCAAAAACTTTTGAGACAATTGGTAATATTGAAATTGGTCGATAATTGCTCTGGTCAGATTTCCTGCCTTTTTTAAACACTGGTAACACCCGCGCGAGTTTCCATTCTTTTAGATATTCCGGTAACAATCGATCGCTCAAATATGTTGGTAAGCGAGGGACCAACAACAAAAGCCGCAATTTTTAGGAGCCTAGCCGGAATTTTATCAAGACCCATAGCCTTTTTTTCATTAAGTTTACTTAACAGTAGACATACTGTTTGCTCAGAAGGGGCGTCAAGACTAAAAGATTTGGTGGTTGGTTCTAAATATATTTCCGGGTTAATGTTAGTTTGTGGAATTTCCCTAGCTAAGTCAGGACCAATATTGCTGAAATATTCATTAAAAGCTTCTGCTATATGCGAGGAAGATTTAATAGTACGATCACCAACTTCAATTTCGGAAATTTGGGACTTACTACACGTGCGGGAAGTCAATTCATTAATAAGCTTCCACGTTTGACGAGGATTATTTTTATTATGTTAAAGTTTTGAACTGAAGTACTGCTGTTTAGCATACTTAATTGCATTATTAGTCAGATTACGAGAACGTTTATATTTTTCCCAAGATACCCCATCGTTAAAGTTGACCGCCTGTTTCTTAAGATAATTACGCACATGCATTTTTTTCAACAACTCATTGGTAATCCACGGTGCTTTTTTTCTACCAACACGTCTGCTTCTAATAGGTGCGTGTTTGTCTATGCTTTCCATTAGAAGTGATTTCCAGATATCCCACATGCAATTCGGATTATTTTGGGAGTTAACCTCACACCAGGGCTTTTCGTTCAACTCCCGAAGAAAATCATTCTTATTAAAGTTTTTAAACACCCGCGATTGGATGATACGTGCGGTTGTTTGCTGATAATGTGTTTTTCGAATAAAATAAACCAAAGAGTGATCACTAATTCCAAGATGCAAGACACCTGCATTGACTATTTTTTGAGGACAATTAGTGACACATAGGTCAATTAATGTTCGCGAACTGGGGGTTACTCTTGTTGGTTCATCAATCAACTGACTTAATCCATATATATTGAATAAATCAATCAAGGTAGAAGTATTATACGCCCCAGGAGATAACATGTCACAATTAATATCTCCGAGCAAATAATGCTCTTTATCCTCGCTATCTATCCTGCCTATAATTTTCTCAAAAGCATGGAACGCTTCACTTGGGGAGCTCGGAGGCCTATACCATGTGTTGACCAAAAACGCCTTCGATCTTGGCTTAGTAATTTCAATACATAGATATTCAAGGGTCGGAGCTTCCAAGTCGTGTCGGATGAAGTAATTAATGTTGGATCGTACATAGAGGCAGATTCCACCTCCATGCCTACCGTTCAGGTCACGATCCCTTCTCACGAGTTCAAAACCCGGTAGTTGAATTTCCCTATTCTCAATAAGAGAGTCTAATTTGGTTTCATTGATTGCTAAAATGTCGATTTTAGAAGTACTCAAAAATAATTTGAGCTCATCAATATGCAGTAACAAGCTATTAATGTTTAATGATGCCATAACCAAGCCCCGATTTGTTATGTTAAAATTCAAATTCGAAGCTTGAGACATGGGAGTTGTTCCAACGGGCACAAATTTATCTGATTTCCCCGCGGCAATATCCTAATCTTTTCTTAAATAATTTACAAAATTAAGAGCTAAAAGAGCTGTTCCACGTTTATTCAAATGGAGACGACTACGATTGAGATGCTCACTGGCTAATATATTACTATTATTGATAAATCCCCATTTGTTTTGTTTGCTCATTTGATCCAAATATTTATTAACCTCTCTAATTTTACTAGCAGATATCAAGTCGTCAGACCTGTCAACTATACCAGATATAGCGATTTTAGATGCAGAATGACGACTAATTGTTGAGGCTAATTCAATTATTTCATCGGCACATTTCCTAGCTGACTTATTTTCGCATAGATTATTGGTCCCAACATGAATAATTATTTCTGCTGGATTTTTTTTCTCAGTATCGGCTTGGCATGATCTTTCATGTCTAATGTAGTACAGCCTGGAAAAGAACGTACCTGAAGCTTTGCCTTACTTGACAGTCGGTGTCCGTCTATATTCTTGACAATAGAGCCGCCGATGATATAAATTTCTTTCTTCGTGTTAGTCATACTTGTCGCTGAGTCTGTGTCTGTTTGCGTGGCCATTTCCAAACTAGTCTCCCCAACATTAGCTGAATTACCGGTGGCCTGGCCATGCGATCGGTTCTTTCCTGATTTGATCCTATGCCGTTTATGCTTCCGAATCGTTTGAATCGATCGATTTAGAATAGAGCCACGAGCGTCGGACTTATCTGGCGAAACTTCGACAACAGAATTGTCTTCCTCAAGAGCAGGCCTCTCACGGGCATTGAAGGTCCCAGATGCAATGCATTTTAGTCTCTGATTGTTGCGGTACTCTTCTATCTGATCATCGAAGGTAGCGTGGACAGTGACACTGCTTTGATCGCTAGGATTTACTTCAGATTGATATTCACTCGGCTCATTAGCGAGGGGCTCAAAATAATTGAAAATAGGCGTATTACTTGATTCGTTTGCGGTTTCCCTTGGACATGTTTGACGAGGCTGGTCCCATGAAGTTTGACTATATTCTAGGAATTCTTTAATGCTTTCATTTTGATTCTTCAACAAATTAATTTCAGCTTTCAAGTGTTCAATATCAGAACAAGGCAGGTTGGCCTTAACAATGTCTTCAAGTTTATGCACCACTGCCCAAAGCATACAAATTTCAAGCTTTGCTTCAGCCATCTCGACTCTAGCAGCTTTACAATCTGAACAGTTAATGCCGTTACAAGCTGTGTTATCGCCATCATGAGAGGGAATATTAGCACTAGAGGGACATAGTTGATCCTGAATCAACGATAATAGTTCACTTGCTCTCGAACCTTTGAAATAAATTGACTTGCTTTTAGATTTTAGAATACCAAGTGACGAGAAGCTGCTCGCTCGTAAACTTCCAAGTACCACCACTGGGCGATTTCCAAAAGGCTTGTTCTAAAGCCTTCTTATCAACAACTGTGCTAACGAATGCTTTTAATTCGTCCAGATTCCCTGTCCAGGATAGTTTGTCTTTCAAGAAGACGAACTTATTCGTAGGAATCGCTAACACTTTATCCATATTTAAAGTAAATTTAAATCGATCGGAACGGAGCTATAAAATACACGTCTTGAACTTTTGATACCCTGATGTTTCATTTATTACTACTACTTATTACGACTACTCAACGCTGGCGTGCAAGCATTACTGTGCTATTCATATTTATAATTTGTAGAAAATTTGACCACCTTTATAGTAAATTGTGAAAGTTTGACCCAAGAGATGAAGTCCAGTACCCAGTCCATGTCGACAAGAAGAATGCAGTCTGTGGATGCTGCATGGGAAAATAGTAGATCTGCTATATTTGCTGTTGTTTTAAAAAGTTATGCAATTCTTAAAACTGGGGCTGTTTGCTTCTTGTGCGGAGAAGACAGAGCTGTTGTTCGGTGAAGCCACTGTGGACCAGATGCATTACTCTGTAATAATTGTGATGAGACAGCTCATGAGATAAAACCTTTGCATCATGACTGTGATGTTTGGATAAATTGATTTTATCAAACAGTTCCTCCAACTGAAACAGTCCTGCCAGATGGATCTCCAGGCTTCAACAGTAAGTGATTATTGTAAATTTGATAATTAAAAAATTATCATTGGTTTGTTCAGATGCTTACTATATTCTTGATATTCTTGTTCCAGAGACTATGAAATATATCAATTATAAATATTTCTATGCATGCATTTCTTTTTTTTATATAATCATTTCAGGTAAACTACAAGTACTGGTTCAGTAATCTTATACTGTATAAAATAGACTGATTACTACGTTTTTTACAGGAAGATATGCTCCATTTTTATTTTGTAAAGAATGTATTTATTGCAAGGGCCAGGATACACTTTCTATCATCCCCTCTAATGAAATGTGCATTCTTATAACAGCCAAAGGTACGAATTTAGCTGTGTATAGTGTACAGTAGTGTGCACTATATCATGTGCTCTAAAATTGTAGTTACTATCAGCTTATCTTGATTTTCAATGTTTTCTTGCAGGAAGATTTGATTTGTATTTATTCACATACAGTTAAACTGGATGTGATCAACAGTTCTCACCATTAACACTGGAGAAGATAATTAATGAAGGGTATTGGCCAGGTGGCCCAAAGAATCTTAATCACATCTTCTGGAGAAGATAATTAATGAAGGGTATTGGCCAGGTGGCCAAAAGAATCTTAATCACATCTTCTGTGAAGATGTGTTCAGAGTTTGGGATTCACTGTGAAAATACATGACAGACACATCTGAGACAGCATTTCTTAAGTCCTTGGCCACCATATCTAGTGAAAAGGGTATGGTTAGTAAATCATACTCAGGTCACTGTACATAGATTTGTACAAATCATAAATGAACAATTAGCAAATAAGAGCTGTACCATTGTGTATACCATTGTGAAGCATCTGCTCAATCAAATTTTGCACCTGAAGTGGTCTAAAACTGTAGATAATCTTTTTCATAAATTTTTAGTCAGCCATCATCAACACATCAGCGTTTCATCCTGCATTCAAAGAATGGTGTTTTGCCATGCATAAAGTTGACATCTTACAGGTAAAACAATGTGCAAAATGCCCATCATGTTTTAGATCCCAACATTTGTGTCATGTTGATGAAAACGCTAAACTTTATAGATACAAAAGTGTGCCAAGGTATTGTGTTGTTGCCTGGCTAAAATCACACTGACCAAATTAATGTCCATGATTTATATAATTTGTTTATAAAGGTGAAAGAAATTGCTATTATGTAAATACATTCATTGAAGACGATGAACTGGTAGAAGAGCACATGAACAATGTTTATTCCAACAACTCAGCTAAGGTATGATCATGATTGTGAGGAATTATGGAGAGTTGTGCAATGATACCAGTTTTGTATACAATAATAATAATTATACCAAAACTGCATAAGAGTTATTACTTATAAATAATATTTAATCCTCCCAGGGTCATTCAAGTAATTCCTATTGTGGTTCCTCTCATTGGGAAGCTGCAAGGAATACAGTCAACCGTCAATCCAAACTAGATGAAACTGGTCTTGTTGTAGCAGGCTGTAGACATTCTATGGCTCAATCTGCAGTAAATATGCATCAAGGTGAACTGTATGGATACACACATTATTAATTTGCAGATCAACAGACTAATTCACCATAATGTTAAGTTCTTATCGCAAGATGTGATTTGTAAGTACTGGCCTTGGTTTATTTCGCTTCCAAAATATTTGGCACCTGAGGAAGCCTTTTTGATGGCACCAGCACTATCTATCATGCATGGTAAAAACAATGTGATGCTTTGGGCCGCCTTCACTCTGGCCTTTTTTGGTTTCCTGCATGCGCTGTAGTGAATTCACATTCAATTCTCCATTTGATCCCGGGTGCCACCTATCCCGCAATGACATTATTTTCCACCCAAATATCCTCCACGCGGAATATTATGATGTCTTGATCAAGCGTTCCAAAACCGACCCTTTTCGTCGTGGATGTCGTTTAACAATTGGCTCATCGTAATGTCAAATCATCGAAGGGTTTGGATAATGAGGAAAGGGAAAACATACTTTTCAATTAACCGCTTTTTATCGCTCTGTGAAATAATATTTCGCGCCCAAAATTTTTGCAAACCTATCCGCAAGAAACGATCATTTAATTCACAACAATTGAATGAATTTTACGTCATTTAATTGAACCACTCAGCGCGTGCGTTTTCTATGAAAATGATTTGGTCGTGAATCAAGCTAAAAACTCGTATGTGATGATCACTGAACGGCAACAAACCCAGGGGCGTAGAAAGCATCCAGTGATTGGGAGTACCGGCTTCCAAATGACTCTGCCCGGTTCGAGCTATGAAAACATATCTACTCCAGTCATCGTCTGGCCAAACAACTCGTCCAATTGTCAATTTACATCAGCTGTCCCACTTACACGTGTAACCCTAACATGGCACCTACGTCATCTACTTCAAGGGCAAGAACTAGCCGAAAAACTCTACGCCTCTCATAGTTTCAGGATCGGAGCTGCTACAGCTGCGTGCTCAGCCGGCCTACCCTCTTGGCTCATCAAAACGCTAGGACGTTAGTCTTCAGACTGTTACGAGCGGTACATTAGAACTCTAAAGGACGTCTTAGCTTCCGTTCCATAAAAACTAACTGCAAGTACCAAACATTGAAAATTTTGTTTAATATCTATATACCTTTAAAACTCAAACATTATGCTTCCTTGCTGTATAGTCTGTATAATACCAGTCCCCTATTTGTGTGTATGTGGATCCTTTCTGCAAACTCATAGCCTGTCGTATGTTTGTTCTGTCATGTTACCACGGCAACTGCACGATATCTTCGAATCTGTTTGTTCAAGGACGCACATACACACAATTGCCGGGCACCTTTGCAAGATTGTGTCTTAAAGAAATTTTCGGGTGCACCCCCTCCGATGGGTCAGTCAGACAATATTTGAGTCGAGCTGACTGACCTGAACGGGGGTCTGCCTGTTCCCCTGTTATCTAGAGGTCGGCCTCCTGTTCCTCTAGAAAAACCTATAGTTTTTGCATGCTCTGTCGGGTTTTGAGTGCCCTTACTGTCTCTGTATAACTAATGGTGGTCCCTAGATCATCAGGTCTCAACTCACTGAACAACATACACAGAGCTGGCTCACACCCTCTGCGAATTAGAGGTCATCTTGTTCCTCTAGGAAAAACTTAATTAGAGCATCTAGACCTTTTTTCGAGCGCTTCCTGCCCAATTTTTATGCCACAAAAATGTCTCATTGTGTTGTTGCTTTTTAAAATCCTTATAAAGAATCTTAACCTATAAACTACAGTAAACGTATTATACATGTTTATGGTTTAACCTGAAATACATGACATTTTTCATTTTTTATGTTGTAGCTTTTTAGGAAAGTAATGGAATGTATGATTATAAGTACGTAATAGCAAGAGAGTTCTACGACAATAATTATGTGAGTGGATAATTTGAGTTGAGAGTATTAAATAGATCAAAAACAATTAATAGAAAGTCACTGACTTAATAAAAATAGACATAGTGTAATTATTATATTTATCACGTTGTATCCCCAAGCATCCGCAATTTTTTCCCACAGACAGCGGGAACATCTTTGTTGGTTTGTCGGAATTGTAAGTTGTTATTAAATTTGCCTTTCAGAATTAATTTGTGCCATTTTCTTTCTACCTTTAAAACTGAAAAAACGAAGCAAACATTGGGTGATTGCGATGTCAGAAGCAGTTCAAAATTTTCTCTTAAACATAACAGTTTCAACAAAATGACGAGCTGCTTTTTTATTTTCACATCGTTTGTTTTTTCCAGGCTTACAATTAATGCAAACTGGATCGTTCTACAAACACATTCATTGTCTACACCGTCCATTCCCGTTACAACGACAGCATCGAGTCATATTTAAACTACAAGCAACTACAATACTTACTTACGTGGTGTAACTACAAGCTAATTTACTTAACTAATATTTGCTTTAAACACAGAGATAAAATATTTAAAAATGTTTATATATTGTATTTATATGGAGTATAGAAAAACATACGTGGTAAATTATATCGTGCATGTGCATCACAAATACTTTTATCTTGCAACTTCACGGTTATACAATAATATAAATATTATATTCGAGAAATAGGAAGTTACCACTGCGAAATCACTGCATCCATGAGTAATCGCTGTCGCTGATATTCACGAATCAACATTTAATCATACCATTTAGGGGCAGATTACATGGACCAGGATAGCACGTTTGCCCAGCAAACGATCACATAAGTGATTTCAGTATGATATTGTAGCGAAATCTTTTGAAATCAATTGTGTAAATGTCAATCCTTCCAAGGTTTTAAAGCATGATATTCATTCTTGTGCTTTTAGGTCAGTTTGCCGACCTCAAACGAAACTTCAACTAAGCAGGGGCGTGGCAAACGAGCTAGGATTGCAGGGGGGGTGTCACGTAATATTGACCCAATTTTGATAATTTGAAATGAAAATTTGTGTATGACATCGGTGTAGGAACGTTTCTATGAGTATCACAAGTTTTAAATATTCATAAATACTAAAATAAATGTTGTTGTATGTTTGTTAAATTTCCTTAAATTTGCTTACAAATAACAATTGAAGGCAATTTGAACAACTTTTTTTATCATGCTGAATTATCAGGGGGTGTCACACCCTTCACACCAACCACCTCCAACCCCATATCGGCAAGATGAGCCGGCCCGCTTGACACAACCACAGCCCGAGCTGACCCGGTTGCATTTAACCGAAACGTTTGATTTAACTATAATAAACTATAGGGAACGTGCCAGCCTCGCCCATGCAATCCGCCCCTTACATCATGACGCGGGTTCACATCACTATGCATGGACCTATTCGAAGTAGAGCAAGAGGCCTATTGCGAGATACACAAAAACGAGGCTAGTCAGGTTTTCTACTGCAAAAATTCCAGAATAATTTGTTTACTTCTAAATTTTGATTGAAGGAAACTTAGGAAAGAAAAAAATAAGATCTGATTATAACCCGACTACACCAAGAAATTGTTCTTCGCCACAGGCTTCTTTCACCTTTTCCAATAGGTTTATGTACTTGAAAAAATTGCTTTAGAATATAAAAATAGAATGCTAAAAACGTCTGATAAAAGTTTGCCTGACAAAACAGGAAACTAATTCTAAAAGTAAATATATCCATGATTCATCACTCACTCCAGCTATTTTAGTCCAGGTAAATCATTGACCTAAACCTTCCTTGTTACTCATTTCACTCAAGTCTCTGACTAAATTAAGAAAGATGAACAAAAATATCCTTCATTTTATAGCTTCGTTTTCCTGGGTACGAAAATATTTTCGTTTAGATTTTAATTTCTAATGGAAGAAATCATACTTTCCTATATAGCGACATAAAGACAGCTAACTTTAACGTTCAGCAAAATAACATGAACAATTGAAAATGTATTTCTTTTGATAGAAGGATTTTTCGTTCATCGTCTTCCGTCAGGAACAGTAAAGCAAGTAAAGAGCGCTATTATACTGAATTCCTGTGTGTAGAATAAACTGAACGCTTAACAAGTAAGAGGCTGGATATTCATGTACGCTTATCACAAGTACACAAAGGAAGTATGTGAATTAATCGATCTCACACGCAGATTATAAAAGGAGACAGCACTGAGGAAAATCTCTTGGATATAATAATAATAATAATAATAATAATAATAATATAATATATAATATAATAATATAATAATAATAATATAATAATAATAATAATAATAATAATAATAATAATAATAATAATAATAATAATAATAATAATAATAATAATAATAATAATAAAGATTTATTAGCATATTCCACAAAGTGGCTCTTCTTACGCTAAGATTACAAATATAACTAACTATAACTATGTGTATATACAATTTAATAGACTAAACGCATGCATTGACTTTACTAAACAGTGAGTCTTTCTGCCGCTCTATTGTTAAAATGAGCCTTGGCTAATCTTATAAAACTAGAATAGTTATCACATGATTTGACATCCTCAGGTAAAATATTATAAACTTTAGCGCAACAGGCTTGAAATGTACCGTCTTCCAGGGGAACCTTTAATTTGTGTTCACCTGGAAGTTCTACTTCGCCAAAGGCTTCTTTCTCCTTTTCCAAAAGGTTTATGTACTTTATCTTCCTGAGGGGCTTCAAACAATTACTTTAAAATATAAAAATGGAATGCTAAAAACTTCTGATAAAAGTTTGCTTAACAAAACAGGAAACTAATTCTAAAAGTAAAGATATCCACGATTCATCACACATTCCAGCTATTTTAGATCAGGTAAATCATTGACCTAAACCTTCCTTGTTATTCATTTCACTCAAGTCTCTGACTAAATGAAGAAAGATGAACAAAAACATCCTTCATTTTATAGCTCCGTTTGCCTCGCTACGAAAATATTTTCCTTCAGATTTTAATTTCTAATGAAAGAAATCATGTTTTCCTATCTAGTGACATAAACACCTTTAACATTCAGGAAAATAACATAAACAATTGAAAATGTATTCAGTCACGGCGTAATTTTTTTCGTCTGTTTCAGAGCCTTTTTTTTTACCCAAAGCGGAAAAAATGTAATAATGATTCATGTTAATTATAGAAGGATTTTTCGCTCATCGTCTTCCGTTAGGAACAGTAAAGCAAGTAAAGAGGGCTATTATACTGAATTCCTGTGTGTAGAATAAACTGAACGCTTAACAAGTAAGAGGCTGAATATTCCTGTACGCTTATTATAAGCACACAAGGGAAGTATGTGAATTAATGGATCTCAAACGCAGGTTGTAAAAGGAGACAGCACTCAGGAAAATCTCTTGGATACAAACTGTAGTTTAAAAGTATTTTTCTACTAATATTACACAGTTCAAACGTTTTCATAGACGCATGCGTTTCGCCGTTAAAACAAGAAATTCCGTGCTCAACAATTTACATCACGAAAGAACTAAAAAAAGCGCTTCAACGATTTCCGTGCTTTTCGCAATTCAGTACGTTCCATAGCTGAACGTTTTGATTTACGCACGGTTTCGCATTTAAACAAGAAATCAGATTCTAAACTACTTGCATCAAGAAAGAAAATCTAAGAAATACTTTTCAATATTATGAATTTTGAAATATTTGTTGCCATTTCTGTCAACGAACAGAAGAGAACGCGTTGATGGAAGAAAGAAAGCAGGTGGATGAGGACAAAATACACTGATAGGAAAAAAAAGATCACCAAAGTATCTGGAAGCTATGATTCTGCCTTCCGACACCTTGACAAAATGTATCCATTCACCGGCGAAAATAGCGATCAAATCAGAATCGATATAAACAGCCCCTCTAAAGTATTTAATAAGAAGGTTATGAAAATTTTGCACATCATTAGGAAAAGTAATAGAAAGTAAACGAATATTAGGCCATGTATCTTCTGACAAGAACACTGCATTGCGAGTCGTTTTTGTACCAGACAAAGACCACCAACGAATATCAGGTAGATTCAACTCTCCGGTTGAACGTACAATCCACGTGTTGCCACATTCTATTTCCCACAATTGATAATCTGACCTAGAATCCAACAATAACATAACAGCACACCCATCAGAACTTATTGCGACAGAAGGGTCAGTAAACCTACATGACGGTGTCTCTTGATAACACAGTTTTTCGTTACAAATTCTTAAAATAGAAAGTTTCCGATCGCCGTAAATCACAAGAACTCCATTTTTAAATGCAAGGACACGTTCAAAATTTACAATAGATTCTTCATGTTGACTTCCTAAGATATTTTCACTCCTAGGTTCATAACGATATTTAACAACCAGACCTTCACAGACCAACCAAAGATACGACTCTGACCACCAACATGCCAATGCTCGTTGTTTCAGTGCAACAGTTTGCAATGTTTCCCCACTCTCGACACTTCTTATTGAAAGAAAGCAATTTTTAAAACAGCACGCAACATACAAAGTGTCTGGAGAGAGTGCACGACAATCTATTTTGGCATTGTCAACAAAAGTAGCATCAGGCCATTCGAGAACAGATTTGAAGGATAAAACACTGAGTACTTTGTGGGAATGTCCTACAGATAAAAGGAAACTCGTCCCATCTAATTTCGAAATGTAATTGACACGAGTATCACGAGGGAAAAATCCAATCTCAAACACGTCAACGATCTTTTGATTTATGAAATCGTACACTACCAAAGCTAAATCATTTTTCAAATCATTTACGAATGCTACACACTTTCTGTTTTTCCACACAAAAACTTTTGAACAATATTTATTGGAAATTATAACTTTCTCACCAGATGGCAAACAGATATAATTCATTTCCATTTTATCATACGACTCGGAAAAGTAATGAGGCGGGGAAAACATTTGAAAAGAATCATTACTACACAAATTCTGGTCAACACGAATATTCTTGTTGTCAATCTTTTCTAAAGTTTCAGAATTCAAGACGTTCATGTAATCCAAGACAGTGCCCAACCAATACTGTGGCCAAAGAAGAATGTACGAGTTACAATTACTAAACAAACAATCAGATCGCTCATGATACACATTCTTAACTTCAACCAATATATTCTTGCTTTTTACATCCCACACTTTGATTGACGTTTTCTCTAATGTGACAAGTTTCATTCCACATGAGGAAAATGAACAGAAAATGATGTCATCGGGGCCGTGCGTAATGAAGGGGACCTCTTTCTTTTCTTTAATATTGATGCAGAACCGGATTGAATTGTATAAAATATATGAAGAGTCTGGAGAAAAGGAACAGAACAGGAATTTGCAAATTCGACTTTTACTAGTAACTTGTGTCTCAAAGATAGTTGTGAGATCTGGTATTTTAAGCATTTGAAATTTTCGCTCATGCGCATATATGCAAGCAAGCATTGTCTGGTCCGGTGACACTAAAAAATCAGAAACTGAATCGTCTATAAACGCAGTTTGGGGGACAATGCTTAAATTAGAATGGCTTTCCATTGTCACATATTCTATCCAAATCTCATTTGTCCCACCCAAGATATCCTTAGCTACACTTTTGGAATTGACGGCACCTTGTAAAAAATCAAAGTGCCCATTAGCGAGTGCTTGCAAATAAACGTAACAATTATCTTTTTCATAAGTATTAAATATTCCAATCCCGGAGCTATCTTCTACAATTTCGAAGAAACAAACGTGTTGAATGAGGCCCCAATAGATATTTTTGGAAAGTTTAGAACGGTACGTGCCAAGAATTCGCCTGAAAAAATAACTGTACAGGCCATCAAAAAATTTTATTTTCAAGAAGTTTATAACAACATGCACCAACCAATGAAATTCATCTACCTCGCCTGTATTGACCAAATATTCCAAACCATTTTCTAAAGCGTACCTATTCTCGGGTGAAATTTGGAATTCAAAAACAGACTTCAAAGCATCTATCTCGCAGAATTGTTTCTTACAAGCACGCCAGAGACGTCTATTGCCGTCTTCAACATCTGCAACGAATGCATGTTCTTCATAACCGTTCAATGTCAGCCAATCCCATAATGACTTATGATAAACAGTCAGACACCCGTCGTAAACTGGAAGAATCTCTGACATTAGGTCAAGAACCGCTTTACGTATTTTAAATTCGTCTTTAGAGAGACCCATGCATGTGAAGAGAACTTTTATTGGGAGCGCTTCCTTAGAAACGGCAACGACATTGATGAAACTGTTTAATAGACATGAGGTATCTTGCATGAAATGTTGGAGGCCTATGTCTAAACGTTTGAACTGTTTTTCGTAATATCCCGAAATACCGTTGGAGATGTAATCACTTAGCTCGGGTTCAATTCCCACGCCCTTTTCTCTCAATTCACTGACTAAGTAATAAGCGTACAAAAACGATCCCTCACACTTTGAAATAACTGACCTTATACTATGATCATCAAGATTAGGTAAACTATGACAAACAAAAAGCTCTATGTCGTGGTTGTGATCTTCGTCATCAGGACGGATTTCCCACGGGTGAAGATGTTCAAGAATCTTACGTACTTGTAGCTCTGGTCGACTAGAAATAAATATCTTAATCCAATCAGGCAGTTCACAAAATCTCTCAGATATCAACTCCAATAATTCGCTTTTCTCGTCCGTTTTGCTCTCATCCAAAGCATCAACGATGATCAACATTGGTTCGTGTCTGTCAAGGGCATGGAGGGGGTCGTTCAAAAGAACACGAAATGCGTCTGACAGCGAGTCACGAGAATGTTCACGACGAAGAATTTCAGTAAGTTTATCACGAAATCCTTCAACATTATCACACATTTGACTGGCGAGAGACTGGAGTATTCTCTGAGGATTGCTGGAATCAGAATTGCGAAAGTCACAGAAATGGTGAGCTGCGAGTTGACCACGTTCTCTAAAAAGCTCGCAAAGCTTTGCAGACAAAACACTTTTTCCAACGCCTGGACCTGCAGTTAAAATCAAGACCCTGGATTCTTCACTCCCAAACCAACTTGAAAGTTTATCAAACAACCACTTTCTAGTGCCATCTTGAAATTTTCTACAAAGGTCACGAATCTTTCCAGCAAAGTTAAATTTAGCCAGTTGCTCGACATGCGAGGGATAAACATTTTCAACTTTCTTAGTTAATTTGACTACTTTACTTTCAACATCACTTAATTTTGACATAAAATCATCCTCTTGTTGTTTCCACTCTTTTAATCTTTCAATATAACTTTCTTCTTCAGGGCTAAGAGGAGCCACTTTTAATTCATCAATAGCATTTTGAGGAATTCCCAATTTGGCTAACGGAACCGAAATTTCTTGCCACAATGTTTCAAACGTTACGTCGTCCAAACCAGCAGTCGGAATGTGACCATAGACTTCATTTCTAAACATTTTGACTCTTAAAATATTTGCAGATATAGAAGTATCGCTGACTGGAGGCATCACATTCCATCCGGTGGCTGGTGCGGACAATCCACAAATATTTCGGAGTAGGACAGTCAATAGAGTAATATCAAAGTTGTTTGAATCTGGTGTACCAGATCTTGGGAAGAGTAGATCCCATTGCGAGGCTTTAATTACACTGTATCGTATTTTCTGTAAGGTCTTCTTGTTTGCATTCAGTACGGAAGCTAAGGTGGAAGGTGGATGCACCGCATGCAAAGCATTTCTTAAAACATCTCCACCTTTATCTACCAACAAATGACATACCCTGGAATAATTAGCTTTGGCTTTCAATGGATCCATTGTTGTCTTTAAATATCAACTTCACAATCCCCTAAACAAGAGACACAGTCAGGATGATAATTCTTATAATACTATTATATAAAGGATGTTGTATGGTTTATCAATTATAAGCTTTTTAAAGTGATATAAACACGTAAAAAGCATTTTCACTTGGATTTGCGTCTCGTGAAAATATGGAGATCTAACTCATTTTCACTAATCAACTAGCCTGTGCACAGACGCAACGCTTCCTCATAAATTACGTCAGTGCACAGGCTACTAATTTACTGGAGATTTGGGAGTGCTAATAGGCAGCATTTTTTAAATATTAAGAATAAATAAATAAATTGCCTTTACTTTTGCATAATATTCATACGTATAATATTTAATACGATGCTGCAAAAAATCATTCTCGAGGACCCTGCCGTTCAACCAAATTTTTAGCTGTGTGGATAGTTTTTTTTCAACGTATCTAACTGTAACTGAGTACGCACATTAAAAATACCCTTTGCTACAGCTAGATATGTTGCAAAGAATGCTCCCAACTCACTAAACATTTTCTGCTTAAACTTGTATCAAACTACGTGGAAACGGGACCTTAGGTACAACAGATTAGTGCAAGTTAGGCTCGTTTCAGACGTCGAATTTTTCATGTGCCAAATCCAGTGCAAAATGAACTTAAGCAAAGACTTTATCTCATTAACATTAGGTTCTGAACATGAATAGTCGATGTTTGAAAGGGGCCTCATTCATTTCTACGCCATATATATTCAGTAACTTATCAGGGTTTCGGGGTTTTAGTATTGGGCTCTGCGTTTAAATTACTCTTGAACTAGAATTGTTACTCGTTATTAAAGCTAAGACCGAACAGGTGATAATATGGGAAAGAGAGTAAATTTCAGTTATTTAAAAATAATATAAAATATATACAAAATCTTATCAAGTCAGGTCCTATCAAAAAAGGAGACGTCTTTGAAATAACGGAGTATCAGCGGGGGAATGAGCTCCCTCGCGGAGGCGTGGCTCTGGGACACACTATATAGGTTTTTCCTCTTATGTTTGTGAATGGTTCAAATCGTATCTTACTCACAGATGCCAAGTCACCGTCGTTTATAATAAGCAGTCCTCTGTAAAGCCTGTGAATGTAGGGGTCGCACATGCATTCTTGGACCGCTTTTATTCATTATCTATGTGAATGTGAACAATTTACCTAATTGTATCAAGTCATGTTGTATCTCTATTTTTTACTATAGATCACGTAAAACTGTACTAGCTGTAGGGAGCTACATTAAACTGATCTCTTACTATGGATCACGTAAAACTGTACTAGCTGTAGGGAGCTTCATTAAACTGATCTCTTACTATGGATCACGTAAAACTGTACTAGCTGTAGGGAGCTACATTAAACTGATCTTTTACTATAGATCACGTAAAACTGTACTAGCTGTAGGGAGCTACATTAAACTGATCTTTTACTATAGATCACGTAAAACTGTACTAGCTGTAGGGAGCTACATTAAACTGATCTTTTACTATAGATCACGTAAAACTGTACTAGCTGTAGGGAGCTACATTAAACTGATCTTTTACTATAGATCATGTAAAACTGTACTAGCTGTAGGGAGCTACATTAAACTGATCTTTTACTATAGATCACGTAAAACTGTACTAGCTGTAGGGAGCTACATTAAACGGATCTTTTACTATAGATCACGTAAAACTGTACTAGCTGTAGGGAGCTACATTAAACTGATCTTTTACTATAGATCACGTAAAACTGTGCTAGCTGTAGGGAGCTACATTAAACTGATCTTTTACTATAGATCACGTAAAACTGTACTAGCTGTAGGGAGCTACATTAAACGGATCTTTTACTATAGATCACGTAAAACTGTACTAGCTGTAGGGAGCTTCATTAAACGGATCTTTACTATAGATCACGTAAAACTGTACTAGCTGTAGGGAGCTACATTAAACGGATCTTTTACTATAGATCACGTAAAACTGTACTAGCTGTAGGGAGCTACATTAAACTGATCTTTTACTATAGATCACGTAAAACTGTACTAGCTGTAGGGAGCTACATTAAACTGATCTTTTACTATAGATCACGTAAAACTGTACTAGCTGTAGGGAGCTACATTAAACTGATCTTTTACTATAGATCACGTAAAACTGTACTAGCTGTAGGGAGCTACATTAAACTGATCTTTTACTATAGATCACGTAAAACTGTACTAGCTGTAGGGAGCTACATTAAACGGATCTTTTACTCAGTAAATTATTCGCACCTTGACTCAGAGAACTTCTCACACGAGTTGAATAACTTTGAATTGTCCTCGCTGTAAACACTCAACCAACATTATGGAACATTGTGTATAAGCAAAATAATGGTAGATCTCCTCCTAAAATTATAACAGAAACAATATTAAACAAGGATCCAGATTATTTAAACGTTACACACAAAACAGGCACATCAAATGTGGTTCAGAAATTGAGTGTTTACACTAATACAAGAAAATGTCAAGCCAAAGACCAGCTTTAAATATGTAAAAAGAGGTCATTAGGAATTGAAGTTAATAGAGAGCTTAAGCAAGCGGCGTTTTTGACAACACGAACGTCACGTCAGCCGTAAAAAGACTGGATCGAGTACGGCGTTTTTGTTGCAAATCTATTCATTAAGCAGTATCGTAAATAAACAAAAAACCTCATCAAAAACGTATCACGCAAGCCATGTAGTTACTTTTGTTTTTATGAAGCTTTTCGTTCATTTTTCATCGTAATGACTTCGCTAAAACAAACTCGGGACTTGCTACTATTTAGTTTCTACAAGAAACAAATCACAGCCGAGCAGCTTCTCGTCCTGCTAGAAGAAAACACTTCGCGAAATCCTGAGTTTAACTACCGTCAATACGAAAGGTTTGATCTCGCAACGATTCCTGAACCGGAATGTCGATCAGACTTTAGATTTGACCTGTGATTTGACAAGGACGATATTCCCGTGTTGGCAGATGTTCTGGGTTTACCCGATTATTTCCAGTGCTACCAAAGAACAAAGGCAAGAAAACTCGAGGGGCTTTGCATACTTTTACGTCGACTGGCTTTCCCCTGTCGGTACGCTGATATGATTGCGATGTTTGGTAGGCCAGTCGCTGAACTAAGCATGATAACAAACGAGGTTATAGATTTTATCTACGAGCATCACGCACACCGAATCACTGCATGGAATGAACGACTTTTAAGCCCTGAGAATCTGCAAATTTACGCTGACAAAATCCACACGAAAGGCGCAGCTTTGACGAATTGTTTCGGGTTTGTCGACGGCACGGTTCGACCTCTATGCAGACCAGTACAGCACCAACGTTGTGTATACAATGGCCACAAACGAACACATTCCATTAAATTTCAGTCAGTTACGTTGCCTAATGGCATAATTGCAAATATGTTTGGTCCAATTGGTATGTATATCATTATTTTTTTATATTTTACATCCAATTATTGCATGAGTATAATAATAGTTTGAAGGCATCTCTGACTCTGACAAGAAGGGAATCCTATGTAACATTTAATTATTTTGATTTTTTATAACAGAGGGCAGAAGACATGATGCCGGAATGTTGGCTGACTCAAACCTATTGAACTACTTGGAACAGCATGCCTACTCACCTGATGGAGAACCGATGTGTATCTATGGGGACCCCGCCTACCCTCTGCGGGTCAACCTACAGGCACCATTCAGAAATGTGTTGATGACCCCAGCCATGCAAGAGTTCAACAGGTCAATGAGTGCTGTTCGTGTGACAGTGGAGTGGGCATTTGGTGAGGTTATAAGATCTTTCAGGTGTCTTGATTTTAAAAGTAATTTAAAGCTTGGTCTAAGCTGTGTTGGAAAGATGTACTTGGTTTCTGCTGTTATTCAAAATGCCTTGTCATGTCTTTATGGAAACCAAACCTCAACATTTTTTGACTTAGACACACCATCAATTGAAGAATACTTTTCTTGATTCTAATTTTGCATATATTGAATGAAATTGTTCATTACAAATAATCAACATGTGAAATATAGACTACAACGTGATCACAACATTAACTTGACTTTGTATGATGTGTTTCACTTTAAATTATGATAAATTGTGAGTTTTTGAACATAAGCTAATAATATGTAAAGTGTAAGTTGTTGTTGTGACCATAAGAACTGCTGCCTAAAAGCATAATTTTGTTTTATGTTTTAACATGTTAGGTAAACATAATGTGATCTTATACACATTTCCTTCACGTTTTAATCCATGGTAATTAAGTTATATTCATTACTCCCCCAAAAATGAGAGAAGAAATAATTTGTTCTCCAGGCATGATGAAAATCTTTTTTCAATTATGCAGACTTGAATTTGAATGCAAAGATTTCATTTTTATGGTTTTGAAAATTTGACTTTTTTGTGAAAATGGGTATAGACCACCTAAAACCATAACCTCTGATTACATAAAAAAGGTAATAGTATTCCAGTATTGAAATGTGCAATTAAATCAGAATGTTATGATGACTTCTTCTCAAGAATTGACAGCATTAAATTGTTTTGCTGCATAAACATCATTTGGAACTGGGCCATTTGCTGTTGCTGTTGAGCCATTTGCTGAGCCATCATCTCTTTAAATTCGTTGTGCTTCTCCTGCTCCCTGTTCTGTTTCTCCTTTTCCAATTCCAGTTCCCTCTCCCTTATTTTCATTTCATTTTCTGACTGTTCCCGTATGAACTGTAATGTATCAGAGCCAGATCTTCTACGCCTTCTCTTCTTCTCTTCAATTTCTCCCTCATCAATTTTTCTCTTTTTGGTCTCTCCAAACTTTTCCATTGCTTTCTTTCGAATGTCCACAGCATTTTTCTGATCTTCCTCAACTTTTTTTTTCTGTACTTCACCTAAAAATAAAATGACAGTTGTTATGACTTTTCTCAAGCCTACCCTCAACTTTAGCAGCTGGTTGCTCAAACAAAAACAGTGGTTAAAAATTAACTTAGGGTTAATGTTAATCAAGCTACGAAGCTACAAATTTCCCATTATAATTATAAATGGATACGATGCTTAATAACTTGACGCGCATGGTATTAAAATACACATGTATACCAATGTAACCATTGTACTTTAAGAACTATGAATATTTTCCTACTTTGTGATGCTCTCAACTCTTCGCTCGCCTCCTCTTTTTCCAAAGTTTCCTCGATCAAACTATCCAACTCCGTTAATTTTGGTGATATCCCAGTAGCCTTCATCTCGTATGCAATTCTCTTCTTGTGTTTTTCGCACAATAGAGTGCAACGATCTTGAACGGAACGCTTTGAGAGTGTTTTCTTAAAAGAAGGGTCTTCCATTCCATAGGAGAGTTGCTATTAAAGAAAAACGACCAAAGCAGTAAAATACACAAGATTTAATAACTTTATACTTACTTTTATACGGCTTCCTATTTCAGTTGTTGTTTTTATGAAATTCTGTGAAGACGAGGACTCGTTGCCCAGGGTAAGATAAACACTTTTAGTGCCTTTTTATGCAGGTCAAATAGCTCCAAACGAGTACAAAACGTAAACAAGCTATCACTTGAAACTTACATTTGTCCGATTTGTCCTTGAACTCCAACTTCCGTTTCTAGGGGTTTTCCCTCTGATATCATTATTATTCTGCTAAATTGTGGCAAATTATATAGTTTTTATAACAAATATATATTTTTTTTCGTTTTAAAGTAAAAGTTAGAAGTAAAAACATTGTTCACCTTTAAGGTATTTGACACAAAATCACCGCCCTCAAACTTGTTCATTTGCCGTCTGTGACCTCGCTCCACGGACTGCTCACGCCATAAAATACGGCACATTCATTTCCGGTTGACGTCCGTGAAACAAAAACGCCGCTTGCTTAAGCTCTCTAATGAGTTCACGGCAACCAGGTATATAATCCATCGTAATTATCGCTACTCTGGTTTTAATAAATGAAAGTAATCACCACACAAAGATTAACTTTCACGACTAAAGATTAAAAAAGATTAACGTTTCGACACTCCGGTCTAGTCATCCATCAATCAGATGTAAATATTATTTTGGTAAATAGCTTCCGTCATCCCTATTTAGGGCACAAAGACTCGCATTAATATGCCAGGCTTCCAAACAACGCCTTTGACCATAACGATCATTAGTGGTAATGACTTTTGAATCGTTCCACCCAATGTTATGGTTAGTTTGACACACGTGTTCTGCCAAGGCTGATTTTGAACTGTCTAGGTTCGAAACGGCCTTTTGATGTTCTTTTAAACGTGTGCCCAACTGGCGTTTTGTTTCACCTAGATATTCTTTCTCGCAATCACCACATGGTATAGAGTATACAGCATGAGTTTTCTGTAGCAAAACCTGTTTTTGAGGAATCACCCTCTGAGGAATTGCATCTAGTCGGGACAGGGGATTTTAGACAATCATTTAAAAGGTTTCGTGGATAATTACTCCGGCGTCAGCGACGGAGTTGAAAATTCCCTTCGGGTTTTTTTTTTATTTTTCGTCGTCGCAAGTCTGTAATGGCGCGAAATATACTAGTATTTAAAATGGGTATGTGACCGTATTTATCTAATTCCCAGTCTTGTCTCCTAAGAGTTGTGGTGCACAGCTTTGGCTAATTTTCCGATGCGCGATTCGATTTCGCTCGCATGATACGGCAATTCCTCCAAGAGAAACAAATAAACCGTTCTTTTCATGCTGTTCGATTAAGTTTAGATTGAATTGGGGTAAGAATATATTTAATACATGTAGATTCTGGTCCTTTTTTAATAATATCGCTGCTATTTCGCCTGTTGGAAATGTAGAGTAATCGCAACACCATTCACAATTCACTTCACAATTTTGGTTTTCCCTTTTGATTATATTATAATTTCACACCCTGTGTCTCTATCAACTATCATCACACAACTGCTAAGGCTCTCGGTTTACCTCTAACTAAATTGATTATCTTTGGCATGCAAGGAATGTCTCTCTACTTAATTTTGTGTCGTCATAGACCTAATCACCTTAATTACCAAATATCCAACACGCCGTTTAACAAGATGATGTGGTCGTGTATGGGCGCGTTGACACGTCGCAGTTTGCACAGGATTGAAGATTTAATATAACTATATAAGCGCGAATTCCAAAGGCAAAGTGTAAGACAAAGCGAATGTGTTTTTGGATGGTGTGAGTAGAAGGACAGATATTTGTCCCTATGTGTAAGTTTACGGTAAACGTCAGTTTCTAACTGCCCTTCGATATTTCTATGAACATAAGTATCCAAAAAAGCCAACTTTCCCTCACTCTCGCGCTCTACAGTGAATTGAATTGATGGGTCAATAGAATTCAGATGTTTCAACAAATTATCGATCAAATTTTTGTTAACCGCAGAGGCCACATCGTCAACATATCGTTTCCAAAACAAAGGTTTAACCGGACTAGAGGCTAAAGCTCTTTGCTCAACATCTTCCATTACTAGGTTAGCAATTACTGCCGAGACCGGGAATCCCATCGCTGTCCCAAAAACCTGCAGGTAATAGTTGCCTTCGAAAGTAAAATAAGTCGTATTGAGACGAAAGGATAAAAGATCGATTATATCCTCCACAGGTAACGATGTTCTTTGTGATAAAGAAACATCTTCTGTGAATCTTTTTTCAGCAACTTTGATGGCAAGATTGACAGGGATTTTGGTAAACAAGGAAACGACAACAAACGATACGAGGACTTGGTCTGCGTTTAGTGTTTCACCTCTAATAAATTCCGCGAAATGAGTGGAGTTTTTTACTGTGTAGACAGTATTCCCAACACTCCTACTGTTGCCTTGAAACCCTTTCAGACACTGGGACATATTTTCGCAAAAAAATACATATATATTTTCGCAAGGATCGCGTAGCGACTAAACAGAAAACTCATGCCGTATACTCTATACCATGTAGTGATTGCGAGAAAGAATATTTAGGTGAAACAAAAGCCAGTTCGGCACACGTTTAAAAGAACATCAAAATGCCGTTTCGAACTTAGACAGTTCAAAATCAGCCTCGGCGGAACACGTGACTGTGTCAAACTAACCATAAAGGCGATTCTCCATTACCGCTTCACCGCTTCACCCGCGCGGGCGTGGTGGACGCAATGGAGAATCGGCTTAACATTGCGTGGAACGATTCAAAAGTCATTACCAATAATGATCGTTATGGACAAAGGCGTTGTTTGGAAGCCTGGCATATTAATGCGTGTCTTTGTGCCCTAAATAGGGATGACGGAAGCTATTTGCCAAAAGAATATTTACATCTGATTGATAGATGACGTCATTTCGAGAGTATATAAGGAACTGAGTTTCAACATCAGATCACCCCTGATGAAGACACTAGACCGGAGTGTCGAAACGTTGGGGCGTGAAAGTTAATCTTTGTGTGGTGATTACTTTCATTACGAAAGAGGTCATTGTTGAAAATCTCCAAACAAATCGTACACACTGGGACTTTATATAATTTTACATTTATTCAGGAATCAACACTTTACAACAATTCACGCTCTAATGCACTACTATAAATTACAACAATGATTTTAAGCTATATTTATAACAACAAAACAAGATGCTTTACCAATCAATGATGCATTACCCTGACGCATCTCTTACAGGACTGCAGGATGTTTTTCTGTTGTTTTCGCTTCACTACAACCCACATTTGCGTCCGCTGACGTTATTCTGTGGGACATTGGTTTCACGGTTGCTACTACGTGCTACCCCATTTCCTATGCTATATGATATTACACTATTAACATTTACATAACAATTCCTTTATTAACAATACATATACAATTTACGACCATAACACTATATATTTGCGCATACTATGTAAATAACTGTTTAATTATGGTTGGTATACTCAACCATGCGCAAATTCCGCAACAGTCGTTAATATTTTTTGTGCAACATATTATGCAGTTGGTGAGCCCCACTGAATAAAAAGCGAGTTTAAGATGCACCAAATCTACGACGCGGACGTGGCATGAAAATTGCTACTAGTGTGAGTATAGACTCAGCCACTCTATCATTTCATATGCTCTACAACGATTATATCATTTCCATGTACTGGAGTGCGGCAAGGGTTGAAACAAAAACATTAGTGAAAACCTTTTTAGGGAAGTGAATTGAACTAAAAACTCTGCAAAAGTACTTGTAAATAAGGGATATAGCTAGAAGATTAATTGTGGGTGGGGGGATTTATATATTCATGTTCATTTATATATATTCATTTATATATTCATAAGCAGCCCTGATGTAAATTGAAATATAAACTCTGCAAACGCATATGAATAGTAAATTCTTCATTTCATTTTGACTCTTTGGGCTTCAATTTCATCTAGGGCACATGATGACACAAGTGTAGAAGTAAGAATAATAGTTATTACCAATAAATTATTTATAATATATATCAAGAAAGTCTATATTCCTCAGTGTGATAACATTTTTCAATATGACATTCTCAGAAATAGATAAATGTTTCTATAGAACTTGATATTTTGACCTCTCAGACATCTTGAATACTGGACTGGAAACTTGTAAATATAAGTAATATTTAACTAGTGAAATTACTAAGGGTGAAGCGTGAGTGAAACTCCTGAAAAACCACACATGTCATTAGTTTGTAATAACATTAGTTGCATTTCTCATTTGGATCATGAAATTTTGACTTGATACAGAAGTGCGTTGTTGTTGGGCAAAATGTAGTTATTTTCAAAATTGATGCAATAACCTAGTAAGAACAAGTAGAACTGATTCCTTTCTAATTCATTTAAACCATCCTAATACCGCAGGTTGCATAGTTACTGTACATGTCTGAATATGAATACATACACTGACTAATAATAAATGCATCAATTCACACTTGTACGATTAATACCTCTCATGATTGCTCTCATATTTGTATTTTTTATATTTATTAGTTAAACCCCCTTTCCCTAGAACTTAGATACTCACACATTCCTAACTCTGGGGAAATACTGTAGATTAAAACTGGGTGAATCAATCAATGGCAGAGTTTTAACTGTTTAAATCTACATCACAATTTAAACATAGTGATCAGGCAACTTTTTATATGCTTATTATATCTCTGTCCAATTTGGATAAATATTATTAAACTTTATAGAAAACTTCACCCCTCTTGCATTCTCTCTGGCACACCTGAGACTCTGCAGTTATGAGCAGCATTTACACTCCAGTCTAGAAACTTGTTTTCCAATGTCGTGTTGTGCATAAACTATATCATTACATTATTTGATATTACAACATTGCTCTTATACGAAACACAATATGAATGATGTGTCTTTTAGGAATAATTCATGCAAAAACATGCAAAGGTTTGGGGGCAGCAATTTAGTACTTTCTTATGTATTATTTGACCAACCAAAGTCCACAGGTCTGTAATCATAAAAATTAATAGAAGATTGAATCTGACAAGAAGACCATTGTCTTTCATTTGCTAATGTATGAAGACAAAAACAAACATTACATGACACACAGTTACACAAAATGACTGAGACATAACTATTAGTCTATGCATCATGTGTGTATTTGTCATCAGTTCATCTTGTGTTGCTAATATATTGTTTTTTCTATTAAACATTTGAAATATTTATGATGAATTGATAAACTTATTGATAAATATTTAATGTTGTAGTTACCAGTATATATGACACTACCAACTACCAAGTGTGCGGGGGAATATTGCAAAATTTAATACCAAATTGACTTACGCTTATTTTATAAAAATAATCAACAGATCGCAAGTTGAAAAGCGAACTCACCTGTTTCAGTACACGTTAGCCAACTTTTCGCAAGCAAATTTGAGCGAAGATTGTTTACAACTTGGCATCTTCTCGACGGATTTTTATCGCCATTAACGCCCAGATCGTCATGAAATTTCGTCGTTTTGTAGTGACGAAC